TTAGAAAATACAAAAATTTCATATCTATTTCAAACACGTGACAAAAAATCCGGTGATTTATGGTAGGGTAGTGTATAAACTCTTACACGATTGATGAAGATAGAATCGAGTTTTGCTACTCGAAACGCATAATCGATAGTAACGGTAAACTTGTCTTTCAGGTGGAAGAATTACAAACAGGCATTAAACGTATTTTGAAATTTGTTACCTCATATGGTGTAGAAGTGCACAAATATTGTTGTGCACAAATATGGTTGTGCAAAAAGCATCATTCCTGAACTTATATCTGTGAATACAGTTGAGAACACAGACTATACAGCTATAATCATGGAAGACCTTAGTGACATGCAATTTGAACCGCTTTATGAAATATGGAGTAACCTAGATGAAGATCAGAAAACAAACTTGAGTAAGGAAATATGGGCTGCATATTTTGTGTTAAGGGAAGGTGGCTTCGTTCACGGCGATTTATGCTTGGGTAATATCATGGTGCGAGCTGATACCAAAAATGGAAAATGGACTGTGAAATTCATCGACTTCGATTGGGCAGGCAATGCTGGTGAAGTAAAATATCCCTTCTCACTGAATACGGATCTCCCTTGGCATCCAGATATAAAGCCATGTGTGAATATTCTTCCTGAACATGACAAAGATACATTAGAAAAAAGCTTTCTAGATATGTTTTGAACGTTAAAGTCTATTTTGTGCAAACTTTGTTCTAATGATAAGTGCAATCTGATATATGCAAATAAATTTCAGTTTACAACAGACTATGCAAATTGATAAAATTATATATAGGAATACCCGTATATGAAAAATAGTGAATATAGTGGTCCAGCCGAATTTGAAAAAGCAATGCGTTTCTTGGAACTAGGTTGTAATTGTGGTTGTTCAAAAAAGATTTTGAGAGAAAAGTTTGTTGAACTGTGTGAGTCGTTTCAAGCTCTCTCTAGATCCGAACAAGATATATTTTTAATGGCTCAGTTAAAAGCAATGAATGGTGGAGAAATAACTGCCAGCTGACGTCTTAAAAAGAAAACGCGTACTAATAAGCGGACATTTTACTACTGAGATCGCAACACACCTCTTTGTCAAAAAACGTATTTCAACATGTTGGGAATCGGTCGCACTCACTTCGAAAACGTCAGAAGTCACCTAGCGACGAATGGTATAATACCACGCGTTCATGGTAATGTAAAAAAAAATGCCGCGATGGAAAACCAAAAATAACTATTGATATAACTGTTGCTACCGCTGTGAAGAATTTTCTTGAAAACTATGCTGAAATTCATGGATTACCAAGTCCTGGTAGAAACGTCAACCGAATTACTCAATCGCTTACACTCTTGCCAGCCGAAACGAGTTACAAATCGGTCTATCGTGATTTTATTGC